TAGTTTTTTGTTGAAATTTAATAGTTTATTACAAAAGTTTTTTTACTAAATATCCAGTATATTCATATCATTTATTCAACACTAAAATAAAACTAAATTATTTTAATTTTTAAAGCTTGACTTAATATAAATTAAATCTGAAAATTTTATTTATATTAATCCGTATTCCGATTTATATCTGATGAGTGAAATGCTAAGGTGAATTCGGCAACCTTGATCAATCCCACTCTTGCTGACGGCCACTTTTCGAAAGTCCATATAGTTTATTTCCAAAATGGGTTTTATCAGATAAAAGAACTTGTTTTTATCCACTTTGGTAGGTTTTATTTAATGGTTTAAAAATATTTCCAAAACTAAAAAATAAAATAAAATCAATAAACAACAAATAAACCTAAAGAAAACAAAATTTGGTTTGTGGCCACCAGAAAAAACAGGAAAGAAAAAAAAAAGGTTGGGAAGTGAAGTGTGACTAGGATGCATTTAGGTGGCAACTCTATTTTTACTTTCTTTCGCTGCTTTTGACATAATAATGGCATTATCAGAGCAGCCAAATCACAAGCCTAAAAAATCATATATTCAAACAATATTTTCTATATCACATACACTTAGAAAAAATAACAAAATATATACGGGCCCAAGAAAATAATAGAAATGGTTGTGACAGCCCTAATCATAGCCCTCCATGTTAACACTTCTACCTTCCACGTGTACCCTTCGTACACGTGGCTGATAATCTTTGCTGGAAAGCATGGGGTATGGTGGAATTGCCAGCACCTGATCATGACCAACCGAAATAAGGGAACCGGAAAAACAAAACGTGGAGGATAAAAAAGAGAGAAGGGTCGCTTGAACGTCTCTCTCTCTCTCTCTCTCTGTTCGTTCGGAGGTATCTTTCTCTTTCTTCTCCCCTCGCTCGGTGTTCTGTCGCCGTAACACAAATGGGAAGAAAGAGAAAGAACACGGTGGCATTTTGACCCACCCAATAGCTTTTGTTCTTCATCCAGACATAGCTTCTTGTGTGGGTTTCTTCCTTCCTGCTTGGAGGGATTCGACTTTCTGTCTTTTCCCTTTTCTGTCCGGTTTTCGTTTGGGTCGTTAGGAGGTTTTGGGTGTTGCCGAAGATGCTGGTAGCTAATAGCTTTGATCTATGGCGAAAGGACGCTTTTTTCTCTGCGGCGGAAGAGGTGCAGGAATCGGCTGATGTGTACGTTCCCCGATTCGTCTCTTAGGTTGATTTAATCACGAGATTAGATGAATTCTATGGTTAAAAAACGCATCTTGTGGGTTGAGATCATGTTGGGTATGTGTGGGTTTTTGGGTTCTGGTGGGTTGTTTCTCCAATCGCCGTGTTGTGTCTTTCGTTCTTCCTATTTCTTATTTGTTCTTTGCTCAGTTAAACTTTTTCTTTTAAAAAAAAATTGGTAGATTTTTCTTTTCCTTTGGCGCTTGCATATGGAGTTTTTGGTAGTTGGGGTAAATAATAGAAACGAAGGGGAGGTATTGTTGCGTGGAAGAGAATCTAGACTATATTTTCCCTTGAATCAAATTTTGGAACTATTGCTAAGTTGATATTTATTTGATCTTATCCGGTGTGTAAATGATATGAATGGAAACTTACAGTAGATTCCCATCTTATCTGGGGTCAAAATACTTGAAGCTATTTGGATGATCTATGCACTGGCATGTCCTTTTTCGAGTCAGTCCTAATTTAGGATGGAGTTTGGGCATGTCTTCATTATCACTATAGTCTATAAATATATTGGACCATGGCATGCTGAAGAAAACAATTGGACTGTCATTTATGTCTGACATAAATTTCATGTCTCTCTTTACCCAGAATGGAATCTGCTTACAGGGCATGGTTGAGAGAAAAGAGAGAAAGGTCAACTCCTGCGGAATTAAATGAACTATGTAGGAAGCTACAAACTGCTTTAGGCACTGCAAAATGGCAGGTAAGTCAATATACTTTTCTTTCATATTGAATTCCTCTCCCTTTGTACCTTTTTTTACTATGTACTTTTGCAACAAAAATCTTTAGTTTTCTTATTGTAGATTCTCTTATAAGTCAACTCTCTCCATTGTTTCTTGTCATATCCCTTGAGATTGAATATTCTTTGTTGTGTTAGTTAGAGGAGTTTGAGAAAGCTGTCAGGCTAAGCTACCGACATCATGGTGATGACAATTCAAGCGCTAGGCATAGGCAGTTTATTTCTGCCATTGAAAGCCAAATTACCCAAGTTGAAGAAGCACTAAGAGAATCTTTTATTGAGCAAGGCAAGCAACCCCTTCGGTGGGTAAATCTGGATGAAGAAGAGCGAGATGATCTGGCTGCGTTTCTATCCGGAACTTGTCAGACCATTAAAAGCACTGATGATGAATCCATGGAAGCTACCGCCACGAAGATAAGCTCACTTCAGCAGAAACAAGTCAAAAAAGAAGATAAAAACGTAGATATAAACACTTTCTGCAACCGGGATTTATCTGTTAGTGAAAAGTCTTCTAAGGATGTCATTTCTGCTAACAAGGATGCAAATTATGTGATAGAAATAAAAGCAGATGCTGTTTCCAGAAGTAATGATGAGATAGTTTCTCAAACAGATAGAACAAGTACAAGAAAGACGTGGAATCCACCTAATTACGGTGCTCTAAAAATTGTAATTCCTGACGAAGATGAGCCAAGAGATAATACTCCACGGACTGTTGATGCCACCCCTAAAGAAAAAGGATTCAAAAATCTATCTTGGAAACAAAAGTTTGAAGAATATCCTCAGGCCATGCGAGTAGTTCGTATGTTCAATCAGGTTAGATGAATAAGTGCATAAAGAGATAGGGAAATTTTCTTCTAGTTTTCTTTGCTTACAGTCAGATTTTTGTACTGTGCAGCGTTTTGGACGCATTCGTATATGCCAGAACCAGAGACAGTTTCAAAGGCCATTCCACCCACGATATGGGTGTTCTGTTCAAGTTACACTTGTTCTAATGCTGACCATTTTTCTCTTTGGTAAGCTTTCCGTTCCTGCTCATAAAGGATTCTCTAATTTCTGCTTATTTCAGCTCTACTTTCATGTTCCGATCAACAAAGTTAATATAATGCGTGAGCATTAACATATTGGTTAGCAGATCTTGAAACTTGTTAGTTCCTATGATCTTTGTTATGATGCTTATTAAAACACACAAATGGTTAAATATGTTACAATTGCTTGAGATTACTATTTTATTTTTTTTCTGTATCTGTTCTTAATTTCTGGGGTAGAAAGAAACAGAATGAGGACTGAGGCTTTTCAGATAGAATAATGGCATTATATGGGGAATGAATGATCAATCTTGTAATTGCTGTTGAAATTTTGGCGTCGCTAATTAAATGATATTTTCTTCCCTTTCTCTGCAGTTCCCTTTGTACTCTATTCATCTTGAGTTAAACGGCAGCTTCGCTCAACCATTTTACGAGGTATTTCCACAACCTTAGAACTTGACTAAAATAATGAAATCTGAAATTGTTGCAAGTATGTTTGAGGTGAAAGTTAGCAAGAAGAGATTTCCTTTCTGCTTAAAACATGGTCGGAACAATGAAATATTCCATTAAAATATGCTGTAGTGGTTAAAATAATAAAACCTTTGCAAGTATATGTGTGGTGTAAGTTAACATGAAGATGTTTCCTTCCTCCTTAAAACGTGTTTGGAACCAAGAAAGATCGCATTTCCTTTTTCGTCAGATAGTTTGTGGTGATCTGTATGGTTTTCTTGCAAGATAGTTTACTTATTCAAAAGTAGATTTAACCACACGAAACGTGTGCAGATTCAAACAGCTTCATCATCCCAAACATAGCATCATTTTTTCAACTCAAGTGAAAACTTGACTTCAAACAGTTATGGTCTGTATGAAAAATAGAGATGTGAATACTTGTGTCATGTTAATAGAGATTTGTACTGAATTTTTATTCAAGAACTCGGCTTTATATATGCATGTTAATTTGAATTGGCGGGTGGCACTGTTATATGAATGAATGTTTTTTGGGTTTTGCAGGGCTTTACTTGTGGTGGTGGGTAGAGAAGGTGAGTGGTCAATCGAGATCTAAGGCAGTGCCTTTGATATATTTTGGTGGGACAGTGAAGAGAATCGGTGTGACCTTCTCTTTTGTCGTTGTTGAGATTAAGATGAATTTACCATTGTGTGGATACTGATAGGATAGCAACCAACCTCTGCGTCCTACAGGGACAGCTTCTATTTTAGTTTTTAAGGCATGTTAAAATGTATATACATTTATCCAATATTTAATGCAAGTTAAGCTACATTGCTTGCAACACTGTTACTGTCTCAATTCAATGCAACCGTCCATCCAAACTTAAATATGATGAGCTGGAACAAACAAACAAACACGTTTAATACTCTGTTGTGACCACTGCTTTTTATCACAAATTAATTATTGTTTTAACTACATAAATAAAAAGTTTTAAGTGTAAAACAAATGTAAATAAAGAGCCTTGGACGGAAGATTACGATGGCGAAATGCGTTTTTCAAGGATGGAACACAGGCTTCCATATTTCCCAAATGTTATATTAGTCTTAAAATATCAAAAACATTTTTTAACTGGTCGATTTCTTTTTCAGACAGAAAATAACATTTTTTTTTATCTTTCTAAGGTTAATGTTAATAATACATAAAATCTCTCAAAAAATGGAAACACAAATATAGGGTTGACATTCCACACATGAAAAACTGTCGAGTAAAAATGATCCTCTTCATCCCAAATTCTCAACGCCATTGAAGAGCACACCCGGTCGCACTATTGAAGACATGAATGATGTTACGTCATATCATTTGAAAAATACAACATTTTAATTAATTTATACAACATTAAATAATTGAGGGGAAATTTAAATCAGTGAAAAAAAAATCTCGGAACGATAAGACTTTACGATACTAAGTAGGTAAGCAGTGATGGGCCGAGCCTATGGATATATCGGCCCAACATTATTGGTAAGGCAAAATGGAAAGAGAAGAAATGGTTGGACCCAAAAAAAAAAAAAAGAGAGAGAGGAAGAAGGAAGAAAAGGAAAAGAGAAAGGAGAGCATTGGTGCCAGATTCCTGTAGCGAGTCCAATCAGTCCTCCACCACACTCAGATCTGCGAGTTTCGCTTTCTGTATGTGCTCTGTGTGTTGAGAGCAAATTGAATGTTCAATCCCCAATTTCCATTTTCGAGTTATCAGAATTTCAAATTTCCTAACTGAACGCGATCCCAATCTCAGATGTCTTGTCTAGCGCTTTCCTTGCAACCCTCCAATGGATCCGACATACTTCTCCAGACGCGCGAGTGGTTCCCTCCCGCACGCGCCCTCGTCGCCCTCTCCGCGTTTCGCCAAACTCGCCGGGCCCTCGCTGCCAATAAGCACTCCACGCCGGACGACGCCTACGCAGCGGAATCAATCGGCGACGATCCCCTCGCGGCGTCGAGCGGCCAGGTCATCGTCGGGGTGGAGAGCCGCTACCGTGTGGTGTACCGCCTCGTGAACGGCATCTACGTGCTCGGCATAACCGTCGCGGACCATGACAACTCCGTCAACGTGTTCGAATGCATCCACATCGTAAACCAGGCCGTCAGTGTTGTCGTGACGGCGTGCCGGGGCGTCGATGTCACGCCGGAGAAGCTCAGCCGCAAGTACGCCGAGATCTACATGGCCCTTGACATTGTCCTCCGCGGCGTCAGCAACATCCGTCTCGCCGCCATGCTTTCCACCATGCACGGCGAGAGCATCGCCAAGATGGTCCACTCGGCCATTGACACCGAGAACAAGATCCGCGGCGCCGAGACGTGGCTCACGGCGGAGGTGCATTCGCTCGAGCACCAGGCCTGCATCGACGCCTTATCCACCGCCTCCTTCGAGTTGCCGCCGGAGACGCTCGAGGCTGGCGAAGAGGTCGCCGCCAGCCTTGCCCCGGCCCAGCCCGAAACGCAGGAGGAGCCGCAGCAGAAGCCGGAAGAGTCTCAGGTGGAGGACCCTTTTGCAGCTAGTGATGCTATTAACAAGCCGCAGGAACTTGTTGAAGGTTTCAAGAAAACAAAGGACCCTGCTACCGATTTAACCTCAGCTTTGGAGGGGCTTGATGTCACCACATTGCCTCCTCCTGAGGCTACTCAATCCACGCAGATAAATGTGGAGGGTTTTGAAGGGAGTTACGGTGGAGTTGAGTTTGGGAATGAGCAAGCTTCTATTGGAGAAGCTTTTGAAGGTTTCAACGATGCTTGGGGTGGTGGACTGGATCCTTCCGAGTTTGTGGGCACAACCAAACCTCCCAAACCGCAAGGTCTTGGTGGGGTTGAATTGTTGCAAACTGGGCCTGATGCTGCTCCTAAAGCAGCTGCTGAAAGTGGTTCAGGAACTCCACTTGAAAACTTGTTGGTGAAGAAAACTGAGATGAAGGGTCCTGAGATGTATATCTCTGAGGTGATTAGTGCAGAGTTTAGGGAATCGTTGCTAGCACGAGTGGGGTTGATGGGTGTTGTTTACCTCAGAACTATACCACCCAAAACTGCTGGTGATAAGGAAACTGAATTCTCATTCCGAATTGAAGGAACCAGTGCTGTTAAGAGATTTGTTATTCAGAATTCGCGTGTTAGTAGTCTTGGTAATGGGTTGTTTCATGTGAGGACTGCGGCCTCTGAGGAGCCAATACCAATTATTAAGTATAGCTTAGTTCCTAGGTTGACGCCGTTGCCTTTGAGGATTCGACTTACGAAACGGCATACTGGGAGTTTGCTTTCTGTCATGATACAATATGCTTCAAACCCTGATTTGTTAGTCCCCTTGCATGATGTTACTTTCACTCTTAAACTGCCCGTTGATCCTACTCTGTTGAAGGTTTCTCCAAAAGCTGTGTTAAATAGGACCGAAAGAGAAATTAAATGGCTTGTGCCAGAAATTCCGTTGAAGGGCTCTCCTGGTAGGTTGAGAGTTCGGATGCCGGTAGATTCCAGTGAAGATGATGAGGAAATTGAGGTTGTTGGTTATGTGAAATTTTCAGAACAAGTAACCCAGTCATTGTCTGGAGTTTCTATACGGCCGGCTTCAGAGGGTAAGACAGACTTCTACGAGGTTAGTGACAGACTTGAGAGTGGGGTATACATGTGCGATTGATTTTGTAATCATAGATGATTAGCAGGAGCTGTACTTTTTCATTTTGTGTCCATGAGATTTATGATTTGGTTGTGTTTATAGCATTCTTGGATATTGATCATGTACCTCGAACTCTGGAATTATCTGAAAATATTTGTTTCTCTGTACTGTGGCTATGATTTTACTTCAATGAACTGTATTTCCTCTTTGCAATGTTACTTGCTAGTATTACCCCGTGCTCATTTTGGTGATTCTTATTTGCAATAATAATTCTATGTATCATTCTAGATGAACAGCAGGCAATATATTCTTAAAACTTGCTAATGTCTGCTGAAAATTTAACAATAACTAGGAATCAAGATCATCAACAGTAGATGGTAGCCTTTGGTGGTTATTAGAGAGGTTTAAACAAGTCAAGCCGAACCCAACTCTTAAAGTTTGGACTTGGCTTGTCAAAGGAGTTGATAGCTCAAGTTTGGTTACTTTATTGAATCAAGGTTAATTAAAAGTTTCAGCTTGAGTTATTTAGCTCATTTATAACTTAACTACGTTTGCTTTTATGAGCATTTTCTTATATTGTTTTTCTACTTTATCAATATAACATCTCAAATTATTTTGATACTAATCTACTAATAAAAAATATGTATCAAGTATTTCTCAGAAAAGTAATTAATATTAAAAGGAAGCTAATGTTTTGCACAAATACAACTCAATATTAGCTAATAGAACCTGAACTTCGAAATAATAATGCTAATATTCTAATAAAACATAAACTAATGAACTTTCTATTTTAAACTCACACACATACATAAATGAGTTATTAGAGTCAAACTCTTAAAGTTTGGATTCAACTCATTTAAATAATCAAACGTACCAGAGAGATTGAGTATGTCTATATAACTTACAGACAAAATTAAACAAGTATTTAATAAGTCTAGTCTGAACAGTTCTGGAATAGTTTTGCTTGTTTACACTCGTAACAACGAGCAAAAAGATCACCATATACATGGTGGATGGTGTGACGGCCTATGGACAAAGCTGTGATGAATGATAAAAAGTGTACAAAATCTAAAGAGTAAATGGCAAAAATATATCAAAGAAACAGCAGAACCTTATGCTAAAATCCAATAAAATATCATTAGTCTCAAAAGAATGCTTTGGAGGCAATGACATTTCTCTATAAATGAAAAAAACTTGGGAACATCGTAGGTTTAATAAAAAAAGCATAGAACATGAAATTCTAAAAGACAACTAAATTCTGAGTTTCTAAAACAGAACTAAATCCTTAAAGTTTGATAAAACAGAGTGCAAACAGATGAAGAACAAGTATAGCCACACTTAAGTTGCCGTTGACTGGTGGTCACTAGAGAAGGTCTCCAGAGTTGCTTGCTTAGGTAGTTCCCAATAGAAAAGACAGAGTTTCACAGTTAAACACCAGGGAGAAAGAGTGAACACAAAAATGAAATGGGGGTCCGATATGTTTTAAAGAATAAAGTACCCCTTAAAAGGGATTTTAAAACTGAAAAAAAAAACATGGGATGTTCTGCCATGGGTGTTGCAGTGCTGTGGCATTACAGGTGCCTTGGCAGATACCGCAGATGGTGCCATTCATTGGGAAATAACAGAGGATAAATGGCGAAGGGGTCCACAAAGACCATGTTATGGTGTTATGGACATTGCTAGGAATTATGGATTCCTGAAGAGCTGGTGTGAAGTACTGTTGCTCTTGTTAGTATTACCCCGTGCTGCATTTAGTAGTTCTTTTAAATGAGCAGTTCTGAGCCGTATATAGTGGGTGCAAATTATTCCTCTAATGTTTAGATTGGTTAAGAAAGGTTCCAAAAACTCTTGACAGTACCAAGCAGGGTATGTTAAATTTGAAAGTAGACACTGTAATGGTCTGGTTCGTTGGAGGGGTGATAGTGGACAGAAGAGAGTGAATTTAATTAGGTATGTCTGGTAGGAAAGAAATAGGGAGGAGAGATAAATTTGAAAGTAAACACAGTAGTTCGTTGGAGATGAGAGTAGAAACAGAGAATTTAATTAGGTATGCTTGTTAAGAAAGAAATAGGGAGGGGAGAATAGTCAGCCAGTTCACGCACCAGCCAAAGGAGATTCACTTAGGGGCTGCACTAATGAATTGTGTAATATCTAAAAGGGACTCCTGGCAAGGGTATTTGTTCAAATGATATGGAAATGTAAATCTCGATGTACAGATGCTGACTGTGTTGGATCAATTGTGGGCAGGAGATCAACTAGATATTGTACTTTCTTAGGTGGGAATCTTGTAACTTGGAAGAGTGAAAAGTAAATTGTGGTAGCAAAATTCAGTGCTGAAGCAGAGTTCTGGGCAATGGCTCAAGGGTTCTGTGAATTACCATTGTTGAAAATCATCTTGGAATACTTAAGAATAAAGTGGGATGAACCAATGCAACTTTACTGTGCTAATAAATTTGCTATTGGCATAGCCCATAATCCGATTTAACATGATAAAACTAAACACTTTGAAATTGATCAGCATTTTATCAAAGATAAATTAGTGGTCAAATCTGCATTTCATGTCTCCTCTCCAAACAACCTTGCAGACCTTCTGACAAAGGGAATGGTAACGGAAAATGTATATTTACCAGCTTGAGGAGGAGTTTTAGCAATCATATTTTTCATTATTCCATATTTAGCATATTATAATTAACGTGCATAATGTAAATATCCCTAAATCATAGGATATTACATTTAGTGTTATTATATTTCCAAAATTATATTTCCAATCTTTTATTTATATCTGATCTACTTTTAGCAACAAAATTATTCTACCCTAATATTTGAGAAGAACCATGTAGGCTATGAATAAGATGGTTCACTTCGAGATGGAGATATTGGGGTTAGATGTGGTAGTTTTGTCTGAAGAGGAAGGAAAGGTGTGGGGTTGAGTTTGAAGAACGTAAGAGGAAGTTGTTTGAGAGGAGGGAGGAGACAGTGGAGATGGTCAGCGTGATTGTTAAGAGGGTATTAAGATCAAGTGATGAAGAACCTATGGTAAACGGATTAATCTAAAAGGGCAATGGCTGTCCATACACCATGGACAAATCCATTAAGGTGGTACACAATACATCAGTCTTTTATCAAAATGTCTTGCACTCTTTAGAGACAAGCTCATTTTAGTAGACTCTTGCCCATTTAATTTTTTAAACCCCTTTCTATTTTGTCGATTGAATTAAGAATGTGAAATTGTGGTAACAGCAAAACATTTCCTCCCTGCGATTCACTTTTATAATTTGCTGCATAAAAATTAATTGTGCTTTGTAGTCTTTCTTTATCCTGTATTACCCATCTCATGTGATGGTATTCATATATATGGTGGAAATATAAAGATTTGTCAATAGCACGCTATAGAGGTGTAGTTGCCCTGGCCACCATATGCACTGCCGTAGTGTTCATTTCACTGTATTAGCCAAAATTGCAGCATTTTGTATTGTACTGATGGTGTTAAAAATCCCGTGAATGGCCTTCTATTCTATGTTAACTTGTTAGAGGGGGTATTTTATGGAGGTATTTTTTATATTATTTTCGGTATTAAAATGGTTTTAGCTTGTAGAAAACCCTTCAAAGTTTGTAACTATACCTCACGTTTCTTGAGACTGTTGCACAAACCCAGTTCAACTCTGACAATCACTGTGTGACCCTCTGGTGACTCTCTCAGGCAACCGATGCTGCAGCTCGCTAGTTTTTTTTACTTCCATATCTCATTCTCATTTGTTTTTTCAGTTATATCTTGTAAACATGTTCTCTTATTCACATCAATCTTTATCCCATCAGCCTGTTCTCTGTTTATTATTCTCTTTGTTCCATCAGTCTGTTCTTTGACCATCTATCGCCCAAAGACCCAAATCCATTCACTCTTTTCTCTCCCTTTGGTTAGTCATGGCATTCTTGGTTACTATTTGCTTGTATGTTTGCTTAGGAGCTTAGATCAATAACTGTTTATTTTTAATTATGAACATGTCAATATTTGAGGCTGTTTATTTTAAATTTTTTAATATTTATATGCATTTACTGTATTTAGTCTGAAACATATAAACTGTATAAAAGATTTCAAAATGCCCATCATCGTGCCATAACAATTTTTGTTATTAGTCTCTAAGTGCCATTATCTGGGATTGATTACTATGACTGAAGAAATTCTTTTGTCAAGGACTGTGGTGTTGAACCTAGGTTGCTTCACTTTTGAAGTATTATGTTTAGTTCGAATTTCTTATTATTTTAGACCTTGTACATGGTGTTTGAAAATTTCAGAGCAAGCCTTTTTCCCAAGTCCAGTCAATCAATGCATTAATGATAATGTGTCTAATTTCAAATTGTCCTGTCTTCCACAGACGAAGTTTGTGTTCCATGTCCCCACGTTCTTGGACAATTGATCTTTTCACTTTAAAAAAGATATATTTTTCAAAATGGTGTTTAATCAATATACTCTCCGTGGGCCATTATATGGAAGAAATAGGTGTCATAACGATCCTCTTTCAACAGCAGCAGTTTTTACCTACAAAAATATCAGCAGTTGTCTTGTGAAGTATCTATCACCTATTGCATTTCAATAAGCTTCCACAATGATGGAGTGAATGTATTCTGAAGAGTAATTTTGCATACACATACATGAAAATTTACAAACAAAAACGCTAACACCACCAATGAAATGCATCAAAATATGATGTCAGAAATTGATAACTTTAAACTAGCGAAAATTTTGAAAGACAGTTGTTTGTAACTACACGTGATGGTTTAGCTGCAAATGGTGTGATTTCATTTCATAATGCAATAGCAAATGTCAGGGACCAAAATACTGAAACAGGAAGGAAAGAGTGGAGTGTAGTAAGGTGGGGAGAAATTAATACTCTCTTTGTTATGTTTGACATTATTGAAAATTACAATTATATATTGGTCTCATTTCTAAATTAAGAGAGAGATCACTAAACGAGAAGTAGGATATACTGAAATTATTGTTTTTAATAAATTTTTATCAAAAGACAGTCTTACTAGTAACAAAACAAAGAGGACAGGGAAAATGATATCAAGAAAAAACAGAGGAAATTAAAAACTTTGTTCTGTTGTAAGGGAGAGAAGCCATTTGAGGAGTATAATCACCTTAATTATGTGATTACAATTACAGTGGCAACATATTCATTCCTGCTCTCTTTCTCTTGAAATCTATTATCCTTGTATT